ATTAAGAATTTTTCTTTTAGGCAGAGATTACATCTTTTACTTGAGCTGTTGTACAGCGAGTGTGATGAGAGAATGCGCCAGGAAATAAAGTGCTCGATGTTGTTGTTTTTGAGGGTCTAGATGTGCTTGCTGAGTTCAGAGGAGCTTTTGTTTTTCGCGTGGCGGAATGATGCGATGTGGTTTCTGTATCTTGTTTTGAAGTCGTTCTCTGTGAGTCCGATGTATGTTTCTGTCTTGTTGTTTTCTTTGCGCGTGACGGTGGCTTGGTAAATTACTGATGGTTGTAGGCAGTTTCCGTCGAGTGGACATGCGTTCTTTTGTCGGCAGTTGCATGTCTTGTTCTTAATGGTAGTGGCGGCGGCGGTATCATCAGCCTGTATAGATGCGGTTAGGATGCGTTTGTTATGGTTTTCGATTATTTGTTTCGTGTTGTTCATGCAGCTGCAACTGATCTTGATTGTGTTTCGGTTAAAGATTTTACTAAGCTTGTGATTTTTGGGAAAGTGTTTGTCTACTAGGACGAGGAATTTGTGTCCGATGTTGGTGCTGGTGTTCTTGCTGAAAGGAGGGTCGTACCAGAGGATGTTATTGCGTTGTCGGTTTTTTCGTTTGCATGTTTTGGCTGGTTCGTACTGTAGTGTGTAGTGGTATCCACTTTCGTCGAGTGCTTTCTGGTTTGGAGGGGCGGCTTGGTCAAAGGATGCTTTGTCAGATGATAGGGACGACAGACGTTTGTTGATACCGACGGGAATATTCTTTATGGTGATTGGCGGGTGGTTGCTCTCGCGGTGAACGTATTGCAGTGAAGTATTCGGCTTTGTGAATGGCTGATAAGTGCTTCGTTTAAGGTTACATGTGACGTCTAGGAAGTTGATTATTTGTTTGTTAGCCTCTATGGTGATGCGTAGACCATTATTATTGAAGATGCGACATATTTCTTTCTTGATGCTCTCTGTTTCTCTAGGTGTGGCGTTAGTGATGGCAAGTCCGTCGTCTCGGTAAAGTCCTACGTTTGCATTAAGGTCTTGGAGTTGGGAGAGCAGAAAGCTTCCCACGAGTTCACATGTTTCTGCGCCGTCGTAGCTTCCCATTGTTACGTCGAATGTTGTGCTGCCTTTCTTTTGCCAGTGTAGATGCTTGTGGATTAAGATGGAGTTTTTTGCGTGGATTATAATATTGCTTTCGTCGGTGGTGATGTTGTCATAGTCGGAGGCAAAGTCTAGTGCTTTGTTTAGGAGGTCTTGACTGATGGATGGATATATATAAATGAATGTGGGGGTAGAGTCTATATATATCTATATATATATAATAAAAAACAGATTTTTTTTGTGCCATCGAGTTCAAACCCCACCGGTTCCTCCTTGTATCGCCTTTAAGATAGAAAACTCCTCTAACATTCAGATATTGAGCCTTTGTTTGGTTTGAAGTTGATACCTCTTGCATTTCTTAAAGCCAAGAGAAAACAGATAATTAACTCGGAAAAAAAAGAAACAGAACTTTTTCTCAGTGATAGGGACGGCCATAATTCAGTCGTCATCTGATTATCTGAATACATCCAATATGAGTGCAGATGGCGAAACATTACTTCAGTTCAACGATAAAATTGACAAAAGTAAAAGTAGTGTCCCTTTAAAAATTGTGTATTCAGGTGTTGGGAATTTTAATACAATAAATATTTATTTAAGTTAGAATCGCCCTACTCGGAGGACTTACAAAAACCGTTTACTAATAACATTTACTAAGAGAAAATAACTTTAACTTTATGGAACACTTTTTATCAGCTGTTTTAGATTCGTCCTTTCTCCTCCGTAGTTTCCGACGTGTCCTCACGGTTTTCTACATCACAGCTATGTAACATGATCGTTTCGGCCGCGCGCTTGATGGAGACACTTTTTGGCCGCCAAATCGTACTTTCAATGCACAAAAAAAATAGTCAAGAGAACTCGCTGGGAGCTAAGGTCGATTATTTCTAATTCTAAATACAGCTATTAACCAGAAAATGCAAAATAAATATCGTGTCATGGGCACTTTAAGAGAAAATGATTTTTAACTTTATTGAACACTTATTGTTAGCTGTTTTAAGCTTAGATTAATCCGTAATTTCTCTTACTGTAAATTATTCGTACATCGCTTCGCAAATTTGTTTTTGCCAGATTCTTTTTTTTTTTTTTTTTTTTTTCACGTTAATAGTTCTTTTGTATTGGGTTAACTCTGTTAGGTTTCTGTTATGTGGAATTTACGATTGGAGAAGGCCGAGTTTCTACATTTCGTTATATATCTTAACTGACTCCTCTTAGGAACTTGTATTCAGCTCTTCGATTATTATTAGCCGCGTTTGTAAACAAACTTTACTTTACGCCCTCTGTTATTTTGTTTCGCCGACTGAGGAAACGAAAACAGAGATATGATCTGGACGAGAAGAATCCGAAAATGATTAAAGACACTTCAGAAAAACACCAAGAGAAGGACAGAATGGAGCCACGGGTGGAAAGAACTTGGTTACTATGCAGACGATCGGCAGACGCCACAGACGTGTGAGATGTTTAAGTTGTTGAAGAAAAGGTACAGTAAATGGAGCGAAAATGCCTCGATGTGGGCGATTCAGCCGTAGCTGGTGATGATATGATCAGATGTTGTCCAGTTCAAATATGACAACTAAGACGGGATGAGTTTCCGCCAATCACTGCCTGGCAGCTGGTAGGCAGTAGAAAACGCCAAAATAGAATCAGCTGTTGTGTTCGTCTGTTCAGATTAGTTATTGGGTTCTTTGGTATTTCTAATCTACGTTATATTCTTGTCTGGCTGTCACTCGTTAACTAACCAGGTTCGAAACCATGAAAATTGCGAGATAATTTTCTTCTTATCTTGGTGGGTGTTTTTTTATGTTTTTTTATTTGTCTTAACATTGCTTGCGAAGGCCACCCTTCGTTAGCTCTCTTGTGAACTCTTGATTGTAATCTTTTGTGGTAGTTTTATCGCCAATCACTAGAGGTAAGGTTCAAATAACAGCTTTTGACACAAAGACTTCTGAGAGTACTTCGGGAACCATCAACCTCTACCATTAAATCTTGACCCGAATTGGTGGTCTCTTCTTAAGATATTTAAGACCCGGTAAAGCGCTTCGGTAGCTTTCGGCGATGGCTTTATTTAAATAAGAGGTTGTTTTACAATGATAAAAAGATCAAAACGCATCTTATTAAACCACCCTAGAGAAAAGTTGATGGTTTCAGTTTCACTAAATTAAACTTATGTCATTCATGGTGTATTTGATCGCAAAGAGAGAAAAAAAATCAACAACAAATTTGGAGAATTTGCGAGAAAACTTTCCTCCACCAAGAAAAAAATTGATTCTAAACTTTTGATCCTATGCGCTTATTTGAGATCTTGTGGTTATTTTCCTATTGTTAATCAAATAAAATGAGGTGTTTGCTTCAGCATCAGGGAGTCATCAAGCTTCTCCATCGTTGACCTCTGTGATATTTGTATATGTCCTCTGAAATAAATCATTAGAATAAATAAGTCACAAAAAATATGAATAAGGAAAGAAAAAACGGCCGTACCGTTTATGAATTAAATCTAAGAAAAGAATGAATCTAGGAACAAACAAAAGAAGGAACGAATGGAAGCTAAGATCATATAGATAGACGGAAAAGCAAGTGAATGGATGACTATGTGTACGAATGGATGGGTCGATAGCTGCAGTTGGAGATAAAAGGTTTATCAGAAAGACTGACAAAGTGACAGAGGGATCCATGGAAGGGTAAAGGGAAGTAAAGATGAATAAATGGAAGGAGGAAGAAGAGGGCAGATATAATTTTGAGAAGAGCGAAAGGAAGGGAAGAAATGGAAAGCTTCTAAATACAACCATTATTTACCTTCACTTCTCGCAAAAAGTTATTCAGCTGTTGGGCGATCTGCGAAAAGGCTGGTCTCATCAAAGGATTTTCTTTCCAACAAGAACTCATGAGCTCATATCTAAAAATTCAATACAGTATTAGCTAACATTGTCTCGCAGCTAATACTCTCAACATCTAAATTGACCATACCAAGCGTGGAAAGGGGTTGCAAAGAGGGGATTTTGAACTCATGACAATGATCATTGGAAAGGTCACTTATTGGCCGAATGTGAAATTTGATTTGATGTACAAATTGTTCTTAAATCATCACGACTGATTCAATGCATCGTTTTGATTTTCAACGAGAAAAAGTGGGTGTCAGCGGTCTTGCGCTAAAAAACGTTTTTCGATTATTTTTAAGAGAATCCGGAAAGTAAACGTCCATTATTTGAAGCCGTCTTCATATTCAATTATGATTCAATTTAATTTTACAAGCATTATTCAAGACTTTAGAGCTTACAGTTCTTCCGAACATCGTTCGGGACGAGACATCCGATATCCTGAGGCAAGTCGATTTACTAAGGCAATTGGTGATGTGATGTCAGGGTATGGCAACTCACCTGTTTGGCGGAAAGAAGATATGATTTAACCATTCAGTGTTTTAGGAACATCATCTAAGACAATAAGTACTTCAGCAATAGCTTTGTGAATAGAATAGAGACTTGCTAAGACTTTATGATTTAGATAGATAAAATTAAGTGCAGCACTGTGACAAATAAGATATAACACGTATAAAATGTTTGACACGAGCACAACTTATACCTGGAAGTGGCCTTCTCATCTCGTTCAGTTTCGTCTGACTGGCAATAATCATTGTCAAAATGAAGATACTTGTGTCTATACAGTTAGCTTTACAGAAGAGCCTTGCTAACTTTGGTTGCTTTACGGATTGAAGCCTCATGACGAGGATATGACTTGTAGTTCTCAGGATATCGTTTAAGTCGCACATAGTAACACGTCACACTTACCATAAGTGGTGATTTCCCATAAAACGATACCAAATGACCACCTGCAAATATACATCAAGGCTTTAACCCTTTAACTCCCATGAGTGACCAGGACAGAATTTCTCCTCACAATATCCATACAATATCAACCAGATAAATAATGAGAATAAAAAATATATATCAAGAAGGAGATTATTTGTTAAACCCATACCAAATTCTCCGAATAAAATCTAAAGAACTTTATGGCAGACAGTAAGGAGAATTAACCATGAGATCTTGGGAGTGAAAGGGTTAATAACCTCAATGAATAGGGAATTCGAACGATTAGCGCTGAATTGATTAAAGATCGAGTCTCGTTGTATTCTTTTAGTTTTTGATGGATATTTACATCACTCAAGACTTGGTTGAGTCTTTCGTCTTATGTGGACCTTGCCTCTGGTATCAATTTCAATCAGGTAAAATAAGCATATGATGCTCGATTTGAAGGAAGGAATTACTTAAGTCATACTAAGTTCTCATGGTGTGTCCATAAATGCAAATAGGTATAGATACACTATGCACACGAACAAACAACGTAAAATGAAGCCCAGATATAACCATAATAATGCTCCACGGAATATACCAGAGTGCACGGCAGAAGTTTTTTTTTCGGAAATCCTTTCCGCTAGGCAGTACTTCCGACTCAATCTCAAGGGAAACAAATCTGACAGTATTAAATCCAAAACGAAACTTACACATCACTCATGGATGTAAAATGGAGATCTCGTAGAGATTCTAACGACGACCATCTCCACGGAACCTTTCCCTGTTGAAAAGTTGGATTCATGTGAGCAAGCTACTGTTTGTAGTGCAGGCAATGCCCTTTGAAACTGGGAAGCAGATGACTTATGAAACGGAAGGATGCATTCATTAATAGTAAGCGAGTTCTTTTTCGACTTTAAGATATGTGATAGTTGGTAATTATTATTAATTTCTAGTAAAATCCAGAGTAATAGTTACTGTGACCGTTATTATTATTGTTATTAACATTTTCATAAGTTCAGAAAGTAACCCATAATTAATAATGGTAATAAGACCGAGTTGAATCCAATTCGGTCTGTTATCATACGAGTGATTAAAAAATCAGACGGCCACCAAGCGGGAGTCCGATTTGTTCGTCACGAAACTCCCCTGTTTGGTTGGGTAAAATGGTTGTTGCTATTGTTATTGTGATCAGTTCTGTGTTTTGTGGATTTGACTGAGTGGGTAAAGTAGGATTGGCTGCTTTAACTGTCCGATTGCAGGTGTCCAATTACAGCCAACTGTCCAATTACAAATCTACGGAAAAATTGTGAAATATAAAGCGCCTAGTGCATCAATAACTTTTAACGAAAACTGTAATTGTTATGATTAATTAAGTAAATGTGTCACATAATACACAGCTCATTGAGAGTTTCATTGCAAATTATATCGTTAGAAGAAATTAATTTATTCTGCTCGATTGCACTGAGGAAGAGCATCAATTTAGATGCATTTCAGCTTGTTTAATTTGTCTGTATAGTCGTTGACTTTGATTGCACAGTGTACTTACGCTAGAGGTTATGGTGTATATACCAGCAGCGGATATGTCCCTGGCTAATCCAAAGTCTCCAACTTTAGCCACCAAGTTGGCATCAACTAAAATATTCCTCGCTGCTAGGTCGCGATGGACAAACTGCAAGAGAAGACAATGTATAATTTTTTTGCTTAGAGACGCTCAATGATTGAGTGGCCTATACGAAAGTGCGAAAGATCCTCATTGTGTCCTGAAGCCAATTTACAAGCTGAGATTGCCTGCGTTATAAACACAGGCTTAACAAAGGCTCACGAATGATTAGGTGGCCTATAAAAAAATGCAAAAGATCCTGAATGTGTCCTTAAGCCACTTCACAACTTCGAACTGCCCGCGTTATATTTAGTGCAGCAAGAGATTATAAACTGTTTATAATCTCTTGAGAGCAGCCATCTCTAATGGAAGGTTGACAAATTTAACATTACATTTATTTCTACACACTGCTAGCGAGTCTTACCTTTCTCTCCTCTAAGTGTTGCATTCCGGTGGCGATCTGAAATGCAATTATGACCAGTTGCCGGTCATTCAGCTTACAGCAGACGTTATGATAATTGTTCTTTTCCCCTGGTGCCCTCAAAAGATTTTCCAGACTGCCACCATGAATCACTTCAGTGACCACAAGAACGTTTCCTTGTGAGAGTAGAGCAAACACATTAGAGTTGACAAGAGAAAGAAATTAGACATTATTGTCACCTTGAGTTGATCAAAAGATGATTTGTTGGTAATTCAAGTTTAGTTGGTGGCCAAAAAAACAGGAAAAATTCCATATGAACTTCCGCGAAGTTAAACCTGAAAAATGTTCTTATCTTTCTTTAATCATAAGGTCAGTACCTGCACTGTTCTAACTGACCTTACAGACGGCTGAAACGTTACCTTGTTACTGTCAATCACCCAGTAAACATGCATATTTCTAAGACGTTGCATCGTTGAAAACTGACTTACCTCTCTCTATCCTTGTCCCAATCAAAGTGACAATATTAGGATGTTTCCCAGCCTGCTTTAAGGTCCTTATCTCATTAAGCAGGGTTTCTTTGGCAATGGCACTAGGGTCTATAATGAAATAGAGAAAAAAAAAACAAGGGAATTTCTTATATTTCTTCATTTTACGTAGTTCGCTCATCGTATCTAGCTATGGTAACAAAATTATATATGGAAAAAAAACTGGCTTGGTTAAGGCTGTAGAAAGCGTTCAGAGGGGACAATAGCAGACTTTATGGCTGTTTTTCACCAAAAGAAAAATGGTGGAAAATTAAGATGGCGCATAGCTTCGAACAAGAAAAATCAGTTTAGAGGTATACGACTGTACTTAGGAAATAAAAAGTAGACATTTCGATTTCGTGTATCTACCTTTTAACTTCTTCACAGCTACATCCGTTATGTTGCCATCTTTCCCACTATATCGACCTTTGTAGACGATTCCAAATTCGCCTTCTCCGAGTATTTCATCGAACACTTCAAGATTTTCCAAGTTTTCGGATCCTTCCTCGGTCTCTTCAGATATCTCTCCACAATCCCGCTGTTCGTCGACACTCAGGTGTTTGTCAGGTGTGAAAATGTCAGCATCAGCTATCCCCTCACCCGACTCTAATCTCTCTTGGCCTCTTTCCTTTATACCTAGCACCAAATTATCCTGCTCGCTTCCGTCTGGAGGCAGTCTGTCCCCTACTCCATCTCCCACTAACGGGAGCCTTTCCACGGGGGTCTCGATGGTTTGGGTATTGGGCGACCGATTGTTTTCAAGGTCCTGTATCCCATCTTTTAAGTGTTTGTCTTTTATCAAATACAACTTTCTTGTTCGTTTTCGTCCCTGTCATATAATTGGAGAGAATAGGCAATTGTGATATTTATCCAAGAAGCGTGTTTAGCTTTTATCATCATCAGCGACTGCTTTGGATGCGTCCTTTTCATTTCTTTCCACGTCGCGAAGATGTTCTCTGACACTTGTCCTTTCATTCATAACGTAGAGAAAATATCGGGACCCAAGAGATCCATTAAGATCACTGATCACTTTACGTGTACCTCCGCCAATGTTATTTCCTGCATAACCTGCACTTATTGAAATAGGTTATGCATTGGCGAAACAGGAAGACGACTAGGTGACCGATTCCGAGAACACCCTCGCGACGTGGAAAGAAATGACAAGGACGCATCCAAACCAGTCGCTAGACACTTTAATCTCCCTAATCATTCTAAACAGTATATGGCAGTTTGCGGCCTTTCCTTATGTGTAGGCAGTTCGGAAAGCCGCTAAACACTTGCACAAAAATTTATCTTCCAAATCGGCACCCTTAATCCCCACGGAATCAACGAGTGCTTTTCATTCAACTAATTTATTCCTGTTTTCTCGTCACCATATTCTCGCCAATCGTGTAGCTCCACTTTCTGCATGTAAATCCACACACAACCCACAATTCCTCCAATGGCTCTGACGAGGTGCTAACGCTCAAAACGTTTTTTTTTTTACTCTTTACGGTGGCCAATTCACGTTTTCAACTCAGTTGTTAACACTAAATTACCTGCTATACTCTCCTACCGACGCAGCACCACAGTTTCTATAGAAACTTACCCCCTTTATTCATTGGCTAAATAAGGCCAAACTGACGAAAATAATCATTAAAGGGAAAAGAGTTCGTAATAATAACAAAAACAATAATAATAGTTATGATAAGCAGTTAAATTTGGGAAGTTTTTCTCGACTCTGCATCTTACCCCCCGAGGAAAATACATGATTCTTGGCTGGTCAATCTCAGCATTCCTCTGGACGTCAGCACAAGCAAAGTCGCATGACGGACAGAGATCATTACCCTGTGTGGGGATGTCACGTAACATTTTATTTACCTCTTTATCACGATTTTTACACCGACTCCACAGAAACCCAGTGACTGCACAAATAACTGCAGCCGCCAAAGTGCACGATACAGCGACTATAGTTGTCTTTGATGCTGAATTTTTTGGCTTTCCGTTCATGGAGGTGGGAGTAGGAGTTGCTGTGGATGAATGATAAAAAAAATGTAGAAACAAACAGGTTGCTCTTATCAACAGCACTCGTAGTCAAGAAGGATCCCTCTTACCCTATTTTTTCCCCTTCCATTGAAAAAAAAATCGTACCTTTTTTCAAGAGAGCCACTCCTGATTGGCTTCTTCCAATGCTATTATTTGCAATGCATTGATATTTTCCATAGTCTTCCATCTCTACTCTCGTTATAAAAAGCTGGCTGCGATTGGTTCGCCCGTCTGGAATTACATGTGCTCTGGGGTTAGACTGTAAAGGATATGAAGCATTGTCCTTTATCCAGTGGATTGTTGGTCTTGGGAGACCCCTAGCAGTGCAGCTTAAGGTAGCATTAGAGCCGATCAGAACGCTTTGGTTCTTTGGACTTTCAACGATCTCAGGTTTCTGGGCATCTGCAAATTGACACAGAAAGAATTTCAAGACCTGGTTTGAAGAGGATTGAATCTAATGGGGAGTCTCTGATGATAAGAGGACTGAGAAGGTACAGGGAACGGCTGAAAGTGAAATAATAACTTTAAAATTTTGTATAAACATTTAACAGAAAACACTGTTTATTTTCTAGCTCTTGATACTCTGGTGACACTCTTAGAGTTTTTTTTACAATCTACGGAAATGTACACCAAGAAGCAATCATCCAAAAACCGAGCCTATCTCGCTTACTTGGTGTTGGGGGAACTTCAGTTGGGAGGCTGAGTTGACATGCAAGTGGAAGACTTCGTGGGCTTTCAACTTTGAAATGATAAGGAAGACAAACACAAATGCATATTCATGTCTAACCTGAAACTTTCGAAGATAAGAAAGCTGGCAACGACAAATTTTTACCAGCACTGTTTTTTGCCTCACATTGATATTTGCCAAAATCTTCTTTCTTCACTCCTGTAATAAACAACTGGCTTTGCATGGTTTTTTGGATTGTTGATGAATGTGGATTATTGATGAATATCACCCTTGGGTTGGACTGTAAGGCAAATGAGTCATTGTCTTTTATCCATGAGATGCTTGTCCCAGGAAGACCTGTGGCAGTGCAGTTGAAAGTTACATTGGCCCCTATATCAGTGCTTTGGTTCCGAGGAACTCCTACTAACTCTGGCGCAGGACCTGTAGGGAAAAAGTACTAATTGCAATAGATATCCCCAATTATTACTGAGATAATCTGGTATGAAGCTTATTCAATTAGCAAATGACGGCAGAATGAGAAGATATTTTCACTATCACACTTTTGTGCCGCACAACAAGATGAACTGCATATGCAGGTACTAAGAAGGAACTATTTCAGGCCAACCCTCCCTGGCCGGAGTGTGAACCTCTTCTTTTATTCATTCTAATAATTATCATTCGTTTATTTTTGTTTCGCAAAATAATTCTTTTCTCATCTTCCGAAGAATATGTTGGGTTTTTTTTGCTTCAGCATTGCCAGCACCGTATTCAGCAATCACCCCTGTATTAAGCAGTCAGTTGCATTAGTGTTTGTCAGCTACCAAAGTCCCAATTTGTTTCCCCTTAATCACTGTAATTTGCACCTGTATTAAGCGGTTGCCTCTACTTAGCGGTCGCAGTCGAACTTTACTAAGTCCCAACGGCCTTTTGCATTGCCTTCCATCTATTTTGAACGGCCATTTATAGCCCAACCACCCTAATAAAAACAAGAATAATCCTTCAAATACTTTTTTATCCATGTTTCTCTGCCAAAATCGAAGTAAATTTGAGCGAGATTCTGTACATTAAGTGGCCAATTATAATAGTGGCGTTAGTGGCGTTGTGTATGTTTCGATTTTGTTTTTATATTTTTTTAATAATACTCCTTTTACGTGGAACCTGCATTAATTGGTTACACCACCATTCCCAGTGAATGGCCGCTTAATACAGGTTCAACTGTACAAAGTAATGCGATATGCATCAGGACAGGTCAATTGAATTGCTCCCGATTCAAATTTAATCGTTATCTGCGTGAAGAATTTCGTTCTTTAAGCGGTGCATTTCGCGTCTTGTTAGCCAATGGCCACTGGGTGCGAATAGATTGTACTAGTAAATCCAACAAAAGTTGTTTGACAATACACCCAAAATTTTGCTCTAAAGTTGCTCAAAAGTTGCCACCCAAATTTAAAAAAGTTGCTTACTTTTGAAAGTCATTTTGTTCAAGATTACTACTCAAAACATGACGTTGCATTTGTAATTTGCTCGCAGTACAAAAAGTTGCTGAAAACACTAAAAGTTGCTCAAAAGTTGCCGAGCATAATCTATTAATCCCTAATGACCACAGTGTAATTTTCCTTTTTCAATGAATTATGTATTGGACTTTCCTTTCCATACATTCCAGGAGTTTCTTAGAAGCTGATTATTTGGGGCTCCTTATTCCTGAATGAAACATTTTCGGCATTCATCTTCGTATTTTCAAAAACTGGATCATTGGATAATGCAGTTCAAAATTTTTCATGACTAAGCCATTATAGGTTATGGGTCATTAGACCATGTGCGCGCATGAAGACGAGTTACACCGGAAGCGTTTTTGTACATTGTAACATTCCGTTTGTTCTTGCAAAATAAAGTTGGGAAGATTTATGTATATATGTCCTGGGGCGTTTTTGATTCAACAATTATTCCACTCGCACTTGTTGAATACAAGATGATGGCTAACTCGGCCCTATGAGCCTCGTTGGTCATCTATCATCGCATATCCAACAAGCGCGAGTGGAAAAATTGCTTAATAAAGGTATGATAAGCCTGGTTTCTTACCTTGAATCAATATTTCGAATGATTTCCTTGTGCAGTGGTTTCTGTAACCATTGCCAGCTTGGCAGGTGTAGCGGCCAAATTTGTCAACTGTCAGATTTTTAAGCACTAATGGACAGCTTAATTTACGTTTGTATGCCCGTTTGTTTGAAGGCTGATTGCATTTAGCTCCAACTTCATTATCCTGTGGATCATACCACTTGATATAATTGACCCATCTATCCAGATATCCTGAATCTTCTGTTCTGGACTCCGCTGTACAATTCAGGGTAATGGAGGCACCAATGGGTAATCTGCTGTTTTCTGGACTTGAAAAGATGTTTACAACGGGTCTGACTGGGTTGGAGAGATTGAATAATAATAAAAAAAATTAGTATACAATCTCTTTATCGACCATCAGACAATGAGAAAGATTATTGATAAATCCATCTAATAAATTTAGTATGTGTGGTTCGCAAATTCTTGACCGATCAAGAGTTTTAATGCAGCTTTTTGATGTTAATTTTTACCTTTTATGTTCCACCTGAAGAGGGCCGAAGGCCGAAACGTTGTCTATTTAAACGCTGGATTAGTCAAGTATTTATCTTCGTCCTTTCTTATCTACACATGTTAAATATTTTGATGGAAATTTCTGCATCCTCTAGAATCTCTGACTGGGAGCTGTTTGTTTGGTAGCCATTTTACACTTTCTGTTCACACACACACACACACACATTCATTTATTGTGCATACAAGAAAGACATTCGCATAAACATGCTCTTTGACCAGGACATTTAGAAGAAGTTAACAGTACTTACTCTTGAGATTTCGATTGCATGTTTCACCTTTGACGAATGGAAGATTCCATAAAGCGCAGGTAAGAGTAAATAGTACTAAACGCATTGACGCTTCTCGAAGCCAAAAATTACCCATCATCATGACACGTTGACACATTTTTTGTTTGGATGTTTGAAGTGGCCTGCAAATGGATTGTTTATTCAAATTAAATAAGTTATTTTCTAGAGAAACGTAGTAAACTTAGGCCATAAGTCGATCTAGGTTATCATTAACCTACTGTATCTAAATTTACAAACTCAGGCAGTTACACAAAGGAAAATGGAAATGTGAGGTACAGATTTGGCGATTTTGCACAAAACTTCCGCTATAAGGTATAGGATGTCTTTGCTTTCTTTAACTTATTCCCATACTCTCGTTTCAACCCAAATACACCAACCAATAGTGACAAACAGAATCTAAAATGAATAGCAACAATGTTGCTCGTAAAAAAAAGGGATTGAAACTACTTTTGGGGTTGTGAGCTTGAATAAGTAAGGCAGCCTACCAAAGGAAACCATGTACTCTTTAATGAGCGCAAGTAACAAGCAATCACGCCAGGATTAATTTGAAAAAATTGACATTTCTTGTAGTTTAACAGATCTGAAACAGTACATTTCAGTTCCACTACGCAATACAACATGAATTAGAAAAATTTTTTATTATGGCTGTGTCGGCCGAGCACCGCACATATAACAATACGTTATACAACAACCTCTATTACATTCAAACATGGGGTGGAAAAACTAGAACAGAGCTGAGCGACAGTTTACACAGAATACTGTCAGAACAGAGGCCAGAAAAAACCTGCCGGAAAAAACCCCAATAGGTAAAACAAAAAACTCGGCAGGAAATCGGGGTAGGATCCGTGGCTCATGCACTGAAAAGCCCATCCTACGAAGGCTACATGGCTGGAAGATCTTTGCCCTTGTTTACCAAACATGTATTTAAACAAAGCACGGAAAGTTCTAAATAATTTTAGTAAACGCAAACAAGCTAAGAAGCCCCTGCGAAACTCGATCTGTCACTAATAAATCAATTATACACAAAAAAATAACGTGAGCAAGACGAGGTGTCGGCCTAGAATGCTTTCCCACGTGATAAACACCCGTTTTATAGCACTCCATTCTACCCATGCTGCACTTCAACAGCCCCAATCCCCACTGCTCCCGTGCCGCAGAAATATTTCATTTCCGACTAATTCGATTCGTATCCACTCAAACGCCGGAAATTCCATTTTCTCTTGAATCCTTCGTAACATTTTACAGCGACATCCATGTTGGCCTCCTTTCGATTCAGATAATAATATAACTATTGTTATCACAATAATTTATATTTTTGTCATTATCATTATCGGTGTCGTTCTTGTTATTGATCATTTTTCTTATTTCTTATTCACTGTTCCATTTAGTATCATATTTATTATCATCATATTAACCGCTTTTGTTTAATGACAAAATATACAGCTGATATGTAGCATATGTTTACGATAGCTGAATTCGGTCATATTTTGTTTTATTTTCTCTGCCCCAGAAGGACTACATCTGAAGGAAGAGACATCTAGGTTAGGTTATTCGGTTCATGGAATATCTAACTTCACTGGCAAAAATGCGCCTGTTAACGGAGAGATATCCGGCCGCAAAACTGGTCCTG